TATGAATATCCTCTTACAGTTTGGAGACAGACTCTTGACAAGCAGTCTGTTGGTCAAACTGTAGGAGGAAAGTAATTGAAGAGACAATTGCTTTAAAGATGCTTTATCTCAAATTGGGTTTCTAAATAACAATGCAATGTTACTATTTTTTTGAACTAGACCAAGCTGTATGAGAATGCTGCCTGTGATAATCAACATTTTCCTTGTTCTGCTTGACCTTTGAAATAGGTAATGGTGAGAGTATGGGCACAGTACCTGAATGTGAGGCAGCAGGTGTGGTTGGTACCATACCAGGTATTCTCCCAAACCCTGGGATTTGTAGTTTTAACATAATTTCTTCCATTTCTTTTCAGATTACGGTGACTGTGAATTAAGTACCTTTCAGATTGACAACACTGTCTGCAGTATGTTTAGATTCTCAGGGTTGTGCCCAGTCCTTGCTGCAGGATACATAGCTGTGAAGATCAAAATGACAGTTGTGTTTTCTTCTTTTTCTTAGCATTTTTTAAGCCAGTGGAGCTGGAATTCCAAGTTCCTGCTTGTTGCTGTCTGTAGGATTTTTAGAATGGCCATAGAGCATTCAGAACTGATAGCAGAAATAACAAGTCTTCTTGAATATCAGTGCTGCTGAAGCCTAGGGACAATGATATAAAAGCTTTTATTTAAAAAAAAATAATCAAGGAACAAGAGAACATAACCAGCTATTAAGACTATAGATTTCTACAAATGCTATCATATAAAAGAATTTTGCTAAAATTACACTGTTTGCAGTTTTCTGATTTGTGGAGAAGACACTGTCATTGGCATATCCTCCATAAGCATTACTTGTCCAAAACGTGAGTTCAGCAATACTTGTTGTATTTAGGAGCTAATAGGAGTTGCTGTGGGTTGTCTGAATGAATTTTTGTTTGTTGCAAACTGTACTGAGAGTTCAGATTCACTTCTTTGTATGGGTTTACAGTAACAATACTGCTCAAGGCTGATGAAGCTCTTTGTTAAGATACCTGGGAACATTTTTTGGTCCCTGGGTGATGGGAATCTGGCTATTAGATCTTTACACTGTAGAAATTTTCAGTAGCAAAATGTATCCTAATTTTCTTCTAAAATAAGGATCTCATAGCAGAACGAGAGGCATCTTGGTGACATTTGTAATATTTAAAGAGAGACTTCTACAAGGTTCACTTGCAGTTATCATCTCTTTTCATGTTACCTTACTTTTCTAATTGGCTATCCTTGTTAGGCAGTAAGTCTGACTATAAGAATGCTGCAGGTTTTCCAGGCAAATTCACTCTATATTTTTCTATGTCTGTTTTAATGCAGCTGTGCTCTCCTACCTAATGTAGCATGAGGGTAGCTGCCGGCTGCTAACTCCGTGGATTCTGAAGTTTGTCGCGGCTGGAAGCTGAGGTTGTTGTTTACCCAGTTCAAAGAGTGACTATTACTTACTAAAGAGGTACCTTCCTCTAGGAACTGCAGTTTTTAAAGAAAATGTACCTAAATTTGCATGATGTTTATTATAGCAAATACTGTTTTCATCTTTGCCTAAATGAAAAAAATGTTGGCTTTACCCTTTGAACTTAGGAATTGCAAGAAGCTCCCCTGTAACTGATTCTATTAATTTTCAGTAGTTTGATGTGAAATATATCCATGATGACAATAGTGATGAATGCACATACCAGAAGACTCTGTCCAGGTTTTATTTTAAAACCTTATATACTTACAGAGATTTCAGACACCTACAGATTTTATACCTGATAGAAAATTACCATTAAAGTTTAATATTGTGGTAAAAGTAAATCTTAGGGATTTGCTGGAGACTCCAGGAGTTTAAGCTATGAAGAATTAGAATAAAATAGCTGTGTGTCTTACAACCTATAAGAAAAATAATTGACAAAATGAGACCTTCAGTCTGAGAAAATTTCTTTGCTAAGTTACTTTTGCCTTTGCTTGTCTTATCTAACCTTTTTTCAAAGGAGAATCTGATCTCCTTAAGTGTAACATGCAGGATTTACTTCAGTTAATTCTTTTCTTTCCCTTTCAGTTTGTTTCAGATTGAAGTACTATTTCCCTTCCCTACAAGGTTCTGTCATACATCTTTGCCTTCAGTCAGGAAAATCTACTTAGGGCTCCCCAGTTGTGAGGACAGTATCTCTTTATTGGCCAGAGGACTTACGACACAGAATAACAGTTCTCTCCATCTGAAGATGGTAATGTATTCTCAGCAACACTCGCTGCATCTGCTGAACAGACAAGCGTGAAGCCATGTCTTATAATCTAGACATACAGCAATGCAGGCTCTTTTTGGGCCAGTACTCTGGCCTTTTCTTTATCACCCAAGGAGAACATGCCAGAAGGGACATAATGCTGTTGTGCTATATAATAATGTGAAGTTCAAAGACTGCAGTTTTACATGTTTAGAGATTAACTAAAGATCATATAACTCAAAATATAACAATATGTTCTGAATATTCAAAGTACTGTGTAGTAAAGAACATGCAAGAAGAGATTAATATTATTAAATGACTATGAATTATAGGCTCTTTGATGATTTTATTCTCATTCCTGAATGGCTATATTAGGCCAGGAGGAGCAGATGGAAACTTTTTGCTAGGACACAGTTACTTGACAGCTTCCTTCTGCATCATGTAAAGACTCCATTAGCAGATTTTCTAATTTGTCAGTTAGGTGGAAAGGGAGATGTAGCTCTGTCTTCTGCCTGCTTTTCCTACACTGTCTTATGGTGGCAGTATTATGAATGTAATCTTTTCTAGTTTCTTCATCTTTATCTAAGCGGTATTTCCCAGCTATCTTTTAAGAATTACAAGAAGCCTATTACTTTTAGCTGAGACTTAAAAGTGAGCATTTACCAGGAGGAGTTCAGTCTTCTTTCTGCTCTACTCAGTTGACTCCCTGCCTCCCATTCTTTCACTTTCGTCCCTGGCAGCTCATGCATTCTTGGTGGAGATCTGCAGGTTTTCCCTAAATTTTTCTTTGTATCCTTGATTCCATGTGTTGGATTACAAACAATTAACTTGAATAACCATGGCAGGTATATGGGGACTGTTAGTCAAAGTGGCACTGAACTGAAACTGAGGAAATGGTTTTCCTGTGGCTGCTGTTCTGAATTACAGGTTGCATGATGCAGAGGGATGAATTGTATTAACTGACACGATCATGGCCATACAGATACACAGATGCCCCATCCAGGTCTAAGTTTGCCTCTGGTGTTACCAGCCTTTAAGCAAATTGTATCAGCATGCTGGTAAAAACCATCTAGCTAAAAATAACAAAAGTAGCAATTTTACATTTAAAGAAAACATTTTAAATGCTACAGATTGCTATCTGTGGGTAATTATTCAGTCTAAAACAAATAACCTTGAGTTTGCAAATAATATTTTTACTAAAAAATAATAGTATGCATTATTTAATATCTAACTTTTTGGATTATGGTAAAGAAAAGGTCTAAATTCTCTTTGTTCTGTTGTAGTACTTCTTAAAGAGAGTAAGTTTCAAATTTCTTCCCTGGGAAGACTGGGGATTTATATGCTGAGTGTTGACCTGGATATACATATTTTTTAGTCTGGGATTTATATACCTCTGAAAATATGGGTATATAATAGAAAGCCTGACAGACCCTTTAACTGTGGTGTCACTAATACATTGGTATAATTTGTTACCTTAGCTAAGGTGTTTTGCCTCAAGAGGTGGAATACATTTATATATGGAAAGGTCAGTTTTAATTAATAAGCTGTTTTCATCATTCAGGGCCAATATGAATTGCTTGTAACATTTGTGTGAAATAGTTTTCAATATAAAAATAAAACAAATTGAGCTTTGTGTCACATTCATCATCCCCTGTAACCCATTTAAATGTCAAAAAATCAGTACAGACCAGAAGTCTATTTCTAGAAGCCTTAGTAGCCCTATTTATCAGAGTGAAATAAGATATTATCATCCCATTATTCCATCACATGCCTCCTGCACTTGAAGACATACACATTTCTTCTAGTTTTCTGTAACACGGAAGATAGTTTTTCTATTGTTAAATATTTGTTTTCCAAACAGTAAATAGTGAAGAAAGTGCTGAGCCAACATCAGAAGAATGAACAGCTAGTTATATTATTGTGTATTTCTTTCACTATACTATAATATTAATGTGTAATATAATATACAAATATTAACTTACTTTCTTGTACATGTCTCAAATGAAAAAAAAAAATCACTGTGTTTTTCCATCCCTATTTGGAAACAAATGTTTTGCATACTGCAATTTGTTAGGCAGTATAATTTTACTGGAACGACAAGGCTTTCAATGTATATGCTACCGATATATTTTGACAAAAATCATGTCATTGTATAGAAAATTTATGTCCTCGTATATTTTATTATGAAATAAATGCCATATTTTAAAATTTTTTTCTTTATTTAAGTTCTTTTTCTGAGTTTTGTTTCCTAAGCAAGCAAAGCTCAGATAATCGCATGCCTCCATGAGTATATGTCTCTCCCTTCTAATAATTTTCAAATTTCAAATATAAGTGGGACTTAACAGTCTCAAAGGTTCTAAGTTCATTTAAGATGCAGGAAAATAGGCAGTGGGACAGAGGAAAAAGATCCCATTAATGCCCATAGTGAGGAAGATGCTGCTGAGGATTATGAGAAAGGAAGATGCTGCTGAGGAGTTCAATTCTAGGGAATCCATGCAGAATATATGTATTAGAGAGCTCCAGTCAAAAGAAGTGGATCCAGCTGGATATCAGACTATTGCATATGAGAGTGTTCAGCCACAGGACATGCATGTGCAAGAAATGAGGCTGTGTGGTTTGTTACTTAGAGAAGCTTTAACGTATGATGCCATTATTATATCTGAATTCTTAAATAAACTTTGAAACGAAAGAGTTAATTTACTGGTGCATATGTTAAATGGTGCAAATTTCATGTTATGTAGAAAAGCATGGGGGAATATCCTTCTACTGTTTTTTATAGTTTTTTGTTTTATGCTCATGCTTTTTTTTGCTTTTACTGCAACAGGTAGTGCCATAGGAAGTGATGAGATCATAGCAGGGAACGTGAGCAAGTACACTGTTCTTCCAGCTGGTTATTGTGGACAGCCTAAAAAAGGACATCTTATATTTGATGCCTGTTTTGAAAGTGGTAAGCATTTTCAGCATTATTTTATGTTATGGAGTTGTCAATATATTAACACTTTTAACTATATCACTCACCTTTGTATAAAGTGTCTTAATTCTAAAGAAGACTTACATTAAATACTACTTAACTCACTGATTCACTTCAGTCAGAGTGTGACACAAAATCAGACTGTTCAAATGTAAAAAGGGTTGTGAAGTTTGTTATTACCTACAATGTACATTTCATCAGGTCCATCTCTTACCACAATATAGATACATAATTGGATTTTATTCTGTTGTTATATACAGCATTTTTAGACCACTAATCAAAGATGTAGTATTTAAAAGATGTTATTTTAAAATTTAATTTGGAAGTTTACTGGGGAAGTTAACCTCATAAAGTGCCAAGCCCATCCTTGCATATTTAGATTTTACAAATGTGCACGTGCTGTCTTTAAATATATTTCTATGTTTTCTTGTGGCCTAATTCTGTATTGCTGAGGTTAATGGAAGTTCTGCCTCTGATGTCAATAGAAGGAGAATGAAACTTTAGGAAGCTACTGCAAATTGAAAGAGAAATTATTTTTGCAAGAGTTATAGTTAGCATATTAATTTAAAGAAAATTTTTAATCATGTATGTTTATATGCAGGTAGGGTATGTAGGTAAATATATATGTGAATATGTAGCATTGTTTAAATTATTGGGTTACATATATGTGTGTCTCCAGATTTTTAGCTTAAATCTATTATTATTGGCTTATAGACCTACAGAGCACTGTTAAACACCATATGTAGAAAGGCATTTGGCAGGATAAACTATAGTTTTCAGCATGGTTTATGTGAGAGGTGCTGATAAAGCCAAAAAACTGCTACAGTGTCTTGTAAAAAGAGCTTTTTATGAAGAGTTACGTCCCTCAGGGTAGAATACTGGCTGCCAGTTCCTGGATAAATAATAAACTGAGTTATTTAAATCCTTTGATTACGTCATATAAAAAGTGTAAATGATGCAGTGAATAATAAAGAGTATCTTATTTTTAAGGTATGTCTCTGAAGGTTCAGACAATAGTTATGTATTTTTAAAAATACTTTGGATGCTATTTCATAATAGTTATGGCTTTATGAATTTTTGTATCAGAAAATGGCTTATGAAATTAATCAGTTGGCCAAGCTAAGAAATTTATTGTGTTAAGCTGCTCTGCAATGAAAAGGATCAGTAGCAGCCATCAGATTATTTGTGAAGTAATGTGAATCATTCCATGATGGTTTAATTCCAGTTTTTGAACAATAGAATTAATTTTATTTTTAAATTAAAACATTTATTCAGTTCAAAGGTAATGTTCATATTTTATATACTTTGACAATAATAGCATGTGATAGAGGCAGATGCTATTTGAAATACTATGTTTATTTACATTGTAGCATGATGAAGCTGTGATGTTGCTTTGCATATTCACACACCTCCAAAATACAAATATGAATAAAATTAATACCTTCTTTTATTTTTTCATGATGATGATGTATTAGCAAGAATGATAATAATATTGTGTACACTTCATATGTAAATTCACTTCATCTTTTGTTATATGTCAGCCAAGTAATTGCTTAGAGTACCTTAACTGGTGAAAGCAAATTAATTGATTATTGGATATTTTATGAAATTGTTATTAATGCTAAAATCTATCCCCTCCTATTATCCAAACAGTAGCATACAACGTTTATACAGTAGTGTATTGATGCTCTTTGAGTACCACCTTAAAATGGTATTATCCTATTGGAATTGCCTTTTTCAAAGAACTGATTATAAAACTGATCCCACCTGGAGTATTACATCTAGCTCTGGGGTCCCCACTACAAGAAATATGTGGACCTGCTAGAGGAGTCCAGAGGAGGGCCACGAAAATGGTCAGAGGGCTGGAACACCTCTCCTATGAAGGAAGTCTGAGAGAACTGGGATTGTTCAGCCTGGAGAAGAGAAGGTTCTGGGGAGACCTTATTGCGGGCTTTCAGTATAAAAAGGTGGCTTATAAGAAAGACACAGAAAGACTTTTTACCAAGGCCTGTAGGGACAGGACAAGGAGCAATGGCTTTAAACTGAAAGAGGGTAGATTTAGATTGGATATAAGGAAGAATTTTTTTACAATGAGGGTGGTGACACAGGTTGCCTAGAGAAGCTGTGGATGCTCCGTCATTGGAAGTGTTCAAGGTCAAGTTGGACTGGGCTTTGAGCAACCTGGTCTAGTGAAAGATGTCCATGCCCATGGCAGGAGGGATGGACTAAATGATCTTTAAAGGTCCCTTCCTACCCAAACCATTCTATGATGCTGTGATTCTATGAAAACAGGTCACATTAATTTTATAATAATTCCAAGTTAGTGTTATCTTATAGACCTAAATATACCTGAAGGAAATAGGCTATTGGGATATAATATATAGATTTTTTCTAAGACTTGTGCTTTGTCTGTTATGATGATGCTGTTACTAAACATGAGGATGTCATTGAAATCTAAGATCCCTCATACTTAAGAGGTATTAAAGGTTCTTTATGGTTAAAGTTTTGTAAGGATTTATTAAATCTTTAAAAATAAACACTGCAATTAAAAACACAACAGTTACACTATACAGTGATTATAACTCTATATCTAATGTAACTTTAGTAGAACTTTTGACATGGTTTATATAACATTTTCACTGCAAATGATCTTGGTCTTAATGAAGCTATGTTATGATGGAGCAAAAGTGGCTGGACAGTGGTACCCATGGAGTATTCACTGATGATTTCCTTACAATACAGAAGTTGTGTTAAATGTGATTCCATAAGTGGCTTTCCTCTCTTTGGCTGCATTCTGTATTTTCTTGAAAGATCTGGTTGATAGAACTGGAAGTTCCCTTCTAGACCTATTTTTCAATGAATATGATTTTATATTGCAGAAATGAAAGTAAATACCTTTCAGAATAGCGAAAGAGTATTAAACTTGTAGAAAGCAGGAAAAAGATTAACACAGAGAGAAGAAATGCTATTTAATATGCTTTCATTTTTGTAATGGCTACCATTATTGTATTAACTAATGTTGACAAGTATGAATTTGTTTGAGACAGAGAGGTGTGTTTTTATGTAGACTGAAAACCAATGTCCAGTGTGCTGTTTTGAAGTGCCTTGCTTTCAAAAAATCATAAAAAATAGAATTGAAATGAGCATTGGGATTTCTTTTTAGTCCACTCCATTGTTGAGAGGTAAAATACACTATTTCTGCCATTCCTGACAGATATTTATCTATCCTTTTCAGAGACTTTCAGTGAGGAAAGTTTCAATGAGGAAGCAGCAATCCATTCTAACGCTGCAATTTGCTCAATATAAGAAACATTTTCTGTCTATCTAGAAATGTTCTTACCAAAAATGGATTAATTCTTGTCCAGTCCTATAGGCACAGAAAGCAGATTATTCCTTTCTTCTTTGACTTAATGGAAAGCTGCTATCATATCTTTCCTTGCCCTTTCCCTCCTCAGGTTAAATAACTGCTATTTTTTTCAACAGTTTCTTAGTGGTCACATTTTCCAAATTTTTATCATTCTTTGTTTCCTCTGGTCTTTCTCCAGCTGTTCCATGCCCTTCTTGACAGGCAATGGTCCAAGGTGAACATGATACTCAGATAAGTTGGTGCCAGTACTATGTAGAGTTTATTACATGACATGCCTTGTGATCTGTTTACTTCTGCTATGTGACAGTCCAATCTTTGTCACAATAGCATGGCACTGTTGACTTCTATAAAATTTATGATCCCTTATACTGTCCAGATCCTTTTCAGAAGAGCTACCTCACCAGTTTGTAGCTTGCACTTAACTTACCCTTAATGAATCTAATACAAGCAACAGAATCATTGCTGTAAAAGAAATACAATTATTGATAATGAAGAATGGTGGCTGAACCGTTTATCTTATACATAACAGACAGAAGAGTGAAGGAGAAAGAGAATTATCAACTTGCAAGTATGTCAGGAATTTGAATTTGTGTTTCCTGTAGTTCTGGCTAGTGTTCTAACTGGAATCTTCCTTGTTAGCTTTATTAATATTTAAGAATATATATGGCCAAAAGAAAATTTTTACATTAATTTATCATTAGCATAAAAGAAACTGATGAAAACTCAGATTTCTTGCATACCACAACATAATTTTTGGATAACGTCAATTTTCACAAGAAACATGAGTTAGTTTCAGGGAAAAATGGAAGCACAGTTATCTACGCATAGAACCAAGGAAATAAATGTCACATTTGAAATGTATACATTTGGCCGGTTGTAATATCTTTTCGTATTATTCATTAATGCATTAATTTATTAACATAGCTTCAGTTTAGCAGCAATGCAGTGCTGTACAAATGTTCACCTCTCATCCTATCTGTTCTGGCAAAACTGTGAATTTTGCAGAATATAGCGCTTTGGGGAAAAGGGTGTGTTCATTCTTGCTATACAAAGAAGTCCTTCCTGATTGAGTCAGGCCCAGATTTTGATGTAGAAATGTTCTTCAGGGAATCTGTCATCTTATACTCAAGGTGAATTGGTATTTCAGACATTTTATTTTGTGTGGATCTAAATGACTTTAAAGTTTAGTTTAACCAGCTGCCCCTACTGTCTTGCATTGGCTTAGTCCATGTTATTTCTGGTGGCATCAATTTAGTCAGCAGCCTCTTCTGTGTTGTGGCTAAGATTTGTTTTTGTTTGCTTAGGCATTTTATGCTTTTATTTTATTGTACCAGATGTTTTTGGAGATGATACCTCCAGTGCTGGAAAACATTTTTTTCCTGGGAACTTACATAACTGCTATAGCTTTTCTTCTGCATGAGGCAACAATTACTTAATTTATTCATTTTACATGATATACACGAAGCCTTTCACACGTATTTTGCAAAGTGGACAAAGAAAACATAAAGGAAATGTCTCATTCCTTAAAAAGAGACCAATATTTTTATGGCACTGATGCCAGTTCAACCCTTTGTGCAGAGTGCCAGTCTAATCTTCTGGCTCTGAAAAA